TCACACATAACCCAACAACAAACCCAACAACAAACCCCACAACAAACCCAACAACTTAACCCAACAAACAACCCAACAAACAACCCAACAACAACAACAAACCCAACAACAAACCCAAAAATTAACCCAACAACAAACACAACAACAAGAGGACCAACACTTAACCCAACAACAAACACAACAACAACAACAAATCCCACAACAAACTCAACAAACCCAACAACAACAAACACAACAACAAACCAAACAACAACCAACTAAACAACAACAACCACCTCAACCAACCAAACAACCAACTCAACAACCCACCCAACAACAACAACAACCAACCAAACAACCCACCCAACAACTACCAACTAAACCACTTTTGGTATCAATAGATCCAAAGTTATTAAATAAAGCATCGCCACCCACAGCACCACAACAACCAAATAACTCATCAACACCAACATCATCATCACATAGATCCGTTTTAAAACCATTTAATATTTTAAAGTATTCCAAAAACGCTATCGAAGAAACCCTTTATAGACCATCAGCTAATGTAAATCAATCTAAAAAATTAGTACAAGATGAAGAAACTCAACAGTATATTAATTTATTGACTATTGGTTTTAAAAAGTTATTTGAAATAAATAATAGTAATGGAGAAACAAATCAAAAAGAATACAGTGGTGATTTTTCAAAAGAAGATTTTAAACAAGAAACCAATATTAAAATCCCAATTGATTCAAGTGTAGATTTAGATGACGAACAGATTATAAATCAATTCCATCTTTTAGAACCAGAATCCACATCTGAATGTTCATCATCAACTGTAACAACAATAGCAAGAACAACCTCATCAAATACAACAGTCGCTTCAAACTCAGAGCTATCATCATCTACAGCATCATTAACATCCTCATTATCAGATAAATGGCAGTTTACAATATTCTCACCAAAGGTTTTTAAAGCAATAAGAAAATATTATAATGTTGACAATGATTTCCTTAGATCCAAATCATCAATAGGCAGCCCAGAGATATATGATATTGTAAAATTTTTAGAGGTTCAAACTGTGGGTAGAAGCGGTAGTTTTTTCTATAAATCAGAGGATTCTAAATACTTTTTAAAAACAATACCATGGGGCGAGTATGAAACATTCACTAAATTATTTCCATCATACTATCAACACATTATGAAGTACCCAAATTCTTTGCTTCCAAGATTCTTGGGAGTATTTCGCCTAAAGGGTAAATTAAAATTAAGTGGTGCTTCCTATTATAATAGTGCCCATAGAGATATCATATTTGTTGTAATGGTCAATCTTTTCTATACTGAACAAAAGTTGGAAATTAAAGAAAAATATGATTTAAAAGGTTCAACAATAGGTAGATATGTTGATGTTAATAAAATTCAGCAAAAATTAGCCAAGGAGCAACAACAGCATCAAAACGGTACAGATAGTTTGAATACAAGTAATAGTAGCAATCAAATAAATGGTGTAGATAATAGTATTAATATTCAAACTCAAGATTTGACATTCAAAGATTTAAATTTAAAAAGAAATATTCATTTAGGTAAATTAAAAAAAGTATTTATACAACAGTTATCAATCGACTCTGAATGGATGTGCAGCCATGGTATATGTGATTATAGTTTATTGGTTGGTTTACATATTAGTGACAACAAATCAATTCAAACTCTTAAAGAATCTCAAGGTCCACTTGAGAAAAAGGATATATCCTATTTCAAAAAGGATTTTAATGGTATTATTGAAAGAATTCATACCCCTCCACAACCAACATCATTATCAACTTCAAATATAATTTATAGATCGAATACAGAAGAAAGTGATGGAGGTATAGTTTATTATTTAGGTTTAATTGATATCCTAACAACTTATAATTTAAAAAAGCGTGGTGAAAATGCTTTAAAAGGAATGTTCTTTGATAGAGTAAGTTTAAAATTAAATTTAAAAAATTTTTTTAATAAGGTATCTCAATACTAATATCATCTTTTATTTTTTTTTTCTTTTTTAGACTAAAATATCAGCAGTTAACCCAAAAGATTACCAAAGTAGATTTTTAAAATATATTGAATCAATTTTTGATTAATATAATAGTATTTTTTGTTCCTTATATATAAATAAATTAAAAATAAAAATAAAAATAAAAATAAAAATAAAAATAAATTAAGTTATATTTTTATTAAAAAAAAAAATATATATATATTTTTATTTTTATTTTGTTATTTTTTTATTATGCACACAAAGAATAAAGAGAAAAAAAAATAGAGAAATTAATTTCATATAGCAATTTTGGGTGGATGTGTGTTAATTTGTGTGCGAATGTATATAAATATTTTTCTTTTTTTTTTTTTTGAAAACTTTTTTTATATTCAAACACTCGCACAAAAACTCAAATACAAAATAAACAAATAATTTAAAATCGAATACAAATAATTTAGGAAATTTTAAATTACTTTATTTAAATAATAAATAATATTCTATATGCATCAAAATAAACTTTAGTTTGTTCTTAAAAATTTACTATAATATTTATAATTTTATTATAATTTATTGATGAGTTATCTTAGATTACTAAATTTTATTATGGTTTTTAAAGAATGGATTAATATAAAATGTAAATTTTTATTTGTATTTCAAAAATTATTTATTTCCTTTTATTAATTTTTTTTTTTTTTTGAATTATTATGTTTATATAAAAATTTTATTTTTTTATATTTTTATTTTTTTATTTTTTTATTTTTTTATTTTTTATTTTTTTTTTATGTTGCCTTGATATTGGTTCAGTTATAGAGACAGCAATAAGAACCCCAAACAACTATAAATTCAAACACTGGATCTTTCAAGACCTTTCGGACCGAATCCATCATATTTAAATTTTTGGATGATGGATATATTGCTGATATAAATAAAAGGATGTAATAATAAATTTATATTAAAAAAATATTTGAATTAAAAGAAATCTAGATTTTCATTTTGTTAATTTGCAATATATCCAACCATATGGTTTTTGTAACCCAAATTAAAAAAAAAAAAAAAAATTTATATTCCGAAAAAAATTTTGAAAAAATCAAAAAAAAAAAAAAACAAAAAATATTTTTAAATAAAATTGTTTTGCGACTTTTCCAACGGTACCCAACAATTAATATCTATACCAGTATTACACCCTTTAGTTTCCGTGTTTGTAGCAAAAAAAAAAGTATTTTTCTTTTATTTTTTTATTTTTTTTTTATTTTTTGTTTTTTTATTGATTTTTTTATTTTTTTTTTTTTAATATTTTTTATTTTGATAAGTTATTTTTTATTCATATACATATATTTCACAATAATTTAAACATGTTCAGTAAATCAATCTTACTCTCATTAGTTGCTGCTTATTTAGCCCTTGTTGGTGGAGCTGAAAGTGCCACTAATTATTTATCATGTTCACAAATGCAAGCTCTCGCTGCTCAATATTTCCCAGCTCAATATCAAACCGATATGATTTGTATTGCTCAAAAAGAATCATCGTAAGTATAATTTAAATTATTAATTAATTAATATATATAATAGTTTGTTTGTTAATAGTTTATCACTTATTAAATTATTACTATAGATGGAATGCTGATGCTACCAACCCAAGTTCAAGTGCTACTGGTTTATGGCAATGTCTTGCTAAAACTCACTGTGGAGAACTCTGCAAATGTTCAGGTGCTGCTGATTTAATGAACCCAGAAGTTAATGCTGCTTGTGCTGCTGCTATCTTAAAAGCTCAAGGGTAAGTAATTATAATAATAATAAAAATCTAATACCTTATATATTAATAATTATTATTAAACATTAAAAAGTCTCAATGCTTGGACTACATGGTCATCAGGTAAATGTAACGGTTGGAACTCTTGCATGGCCAGCCCAACTTCATCCTCATCAACTTCATCATCCTCAACAACTTCATCAACTTCAGGTTCAGGCTCAGGTTCAGGCTCAGATTCAGGTTCAGGTTCAGGTTCATCATCCAGTGGTTCAAGTGGTTCAGGCAGTGGTTCAGGTTCAGGTTCAGGTTCAACCCAATTTTAAAATAATCGATCAATATTAAATAAACAAATAAAAATTGTAAATAAATACATAGTTATTACTAAGAAGATAAAAAGACTAATACAGTGCCCGGAATATACATTTAGATCCCCTCAACTATTATTATATATTATATACAAAATATAATTTACCAATAATATTTTTTATATGAATAACCATGATACCCTTGACTTTTTACACTTATTTTTTTACTAGAATCTCATATCAAGACAAGTGTTAGAAATGGTGGTGTAAAGGAAATGTTTTGGAGAAATATTGTATATGGTCAAATTTATTTAGTTCATATACCTAAAGGATTAGATTCTAAACTCTATTTTGAAATTATTCAAAACCATACACAATTAACTTTAGAATATTATGCAGATTTTTTTAAATTTTTGGCAAATTTTTTTAATTTTTGTAAAATTTTTATTTTTTTTTTAATATTTTTTAAAAAAACCCAAACACCCCTTTATATTTTTTTTTATAAAAGCAATGGATAAGCTATTATCATCTCTAATTAACTTTAGTGTAAATGAAGAGTTAAAAAACAGTAGTAATATTTGTGATAGGTAAGTACAATACAATAAATAAAAATAATAAATTAATTAAAGGCTTATTGATTAGTGTTTTCTCTTTTTAACTATTCATTATAGATTATTATATATAGTTTGGAATAATATATTTTTAAGAAATGAAATTCATAAACATATTTTAAAGTTTATTGAATATAGTGTTGTAGATCTTAATAAATTACGATATGACCAGTTTAAAGATAAATCATATATAACAACACTTAGGTGGTATGGTGATACACTACCTGATAAAAATGAATTGCCACCATTTTTGACAAGTTTATATTTGTACAATTTTTTTAAAAAATTAACTCGAAAAACTTTACCAAATACAATTACTTCACTCACATTCGGTAATTTTTATGACCAAGTGGTTCTACCCGGCACACTACCAAATAGTCTTACAGCACTCACATTCAGTCATCGTTTTAACCAAGTAGTTCAACCCGGCACATTACCAAATAGTCTCACAACACTCACATTCGGAAATAAATTTGACCAAGTAGTTCCACTTGGCACATTACCAAATAGTCTCACAACACTCACATTTGGTGATAATTTTAACCAAGAAGTTCTACCGGGCTCATTACCAGACAGTCTCACAAAGCTCACATTCGGTCGTGGTTTTACCCATGTGTTTCAATCCGGCACATTACCAAATAATCTTACAACACTCACATTCGGCTCTAGATTTAATGATGTAGTTCTACCCGGAATATTACCAAATAATATCACAACACTCACATTCAGTGATTGTTTTAACCAAGTAATTCTACCTGACTCATTTCCAAACAGTCTTACAACGCTCACATTCGGTTATTGTTTTAACCAAGTAGTTCAACCCGGAACATTACCAAATAATCTCACATCACTCACATTTGGTCATTATTTTAAACAAGTAGTTCTACCAGGCTCATTACCAAATAGTCTCACAACACTCACATTCGGAACTAAATTTAACCAGGTAGTTCTACCTGGCTCATTACCAAATAGTCTCACAACACTCACATTCGGTTATGATTTTAACCAAGTTATTCTACCTGACACATTACCAAATAGTCTCACAACACTCACATTCGGTTATGATTTTAACCAAGTAATTCTACCGGGCACATTACCAAATAGTCTCACAACACTCACATTCGGAACTAAATTTAACCAAGTAGTTCTACCTGGCACATTACCAAATAGTCTCACAACACTCACATTCGGAACTAAATTTAACCAGGTAGTTCTACCTGACACATTACCAAATAGTCTCACATCACTCACATTCGGTGATAATTTTAACCAAGTAGTTCCACCGGGCATATTACCAAATATTCTTAGAACACTCACATTCGGTTATGATTTTAACCAAGTAGTTTCACCGGGTTCATTACCAAATAATCTCACAACACTCACATTCGGTAATGATTTTAACCAAGTAGTTCTACCTGGCACATTAGCAAATAATCTCACAACACTCACATTCGGTCATCGTTTTAACCAAGTGGTTCTACCTGACACATTAACAAATAGTCTCACAACACTCACATTCGGTGATGATTTTAACCAAGAAATTCTGCCCAGCTCATTACCAAATAGTCTTAAAACACTCACATTCGGTCGTGATTTTAATCAAGAAGCTCCACCCGGTTTATTAACAAATAATATTTCAAGGCTCATATTTGGTGATAATATTAACCAATTGTAATAATATTCAAATACTAGTTAAAGAATTAAAGAAATAGACATATAAATTATAAAACATCATACCTTAAAACTGTCGTAAGATTCCTTCTTAAGCCTAAAAATTTCCCTATATCTTCCGAATTTATAAATATTATTTAAATAAAGTGAATATGAAATTAAACAAAAAAAAAGAAAAAAAAAGGATCAACTATGATAGATTTTTTAAAACAAAAATTTGTTTATTTAACTAATTTAAAATTTTAAATAGAGTTGTAGTATTACTTAATTCTATTACTTTAGCCATACTATCAGGTGAGATTGCCACAGATGTTTGAATAATTTTTTCATTATTTTGATTGATTTCAAATGAAATAAAGTTAGTTGCATCACCAGCTTTTGATATTGGTTTTAAAGAGTATGGTTTGGCATTATCGAATGCAATTTGTTCATAACTGAACTGAGTCCAGTTTGATAGTTTTGTGGAATAGATTGATGGAATAAAGTAATGATAATTTATGTGCTTTTCATCCTGTGTATATTTATACCAACATAAAGCTTTTATAAATTGTTTATATGTAATTTCTGATACACTTTTACGATTTACTTTGGCTAAATCGATTATTGACATTTCTCTAATATCTGAAACCTTTAATGGAATGGTGCAATATTTAAATAAGTTACCTAATGTTTCTTCACCCAAACCTGCAAATTTTCTTATATTACATAGATATCTAAGATGAAAAACATCGTCGTCTTTTAATTTTGAATTTAATGTGCATATTTTGAACATAATTGCTGAAATAATATCATTCTTTGAAAGAATTTGGTCCTTTACTGTACTCTTAAATTGATCAATTTCGTTTGAATTAAATTCTATATCAATACTTATATTTTCTGAAAATGCTTTACCATTTGATGGATCTTTATAAAAGAAACCTAGATTTGAATTTGCATATTGATGTGCTTCATTAATATCGCTAAATTTATAACTGTCATTATTGTTATATTCAATAATTTCTGGTTTCTTTAAGGTAATTTTGTCGGCACCTAATGTATAGATTTGAGATAGATATTTAAAATAATAAAATACACCAGTTTGATCAAACATTGAGTGACTGATATTAAAACCAACTGAAAAACCATTACCAAAAATTGTTAATTTAAAAGCACCCATTTTCATACCGTTCAAATCTCCAGTTGCGCCCGATTGTTGTGCTGGGGTAATCACTTTGTTTGGTACTAAATTTTCAATTTCTGATTCTTCAATTAGTTTTGATGGTGCTTCTTCTATTTCTAGTATCTCTTGAGATTGGTTCTGTGTGTATGTAGCCAATGGTTTGCCATCCTTATCAACAGCTAGTGTTGACAATAGCATATCATAATCTTTAAACGATAAATTCATTGCATTTATAAATCTATTTATATCTATAGAGTCTTTAAAATAGAAACAACCTCTAACAAAAGCTGGGGATGCAAATATATTATTTGGTGATTCTATTTTTTTAACCCAACTTTTTTTAGTTGTATTAAATGATACAGTCATTTTATCTTTATTAAACATATAATCTTCCATTATTTATTTTATTAATTTGTTTGTTTTTGCAAAACGAAAATATTTTAAACGAAAAAAAATTTGAAAAATAAAAAAAAAAATTTAAAAAATATCTTTGACATTTATTTTTTTATTATTTTCATAATTTTTTAAAAATAATTTAAGGTTTAAAAATGTGTGAAAATACTATGATATCTCGGATTATAACATATTAATAATATAATTTTATATAAAGTTCAATAGTTTAGAAATTTTAAAATATTATAAATTTACAAAATTGATGATTTTTTATTCTGAACGTGTTTGTTTGATTTAAATTTCTTTTTATTAACAATTTCTATGCAAAACGTTTCTAACTGACAAGTCAGATATAGTCGCTTGAAACAGATGATGATAAGTACTAATGCTTCTTTTACATTCTTCAATTACATAATTCAAAATTTTTGAAACATATCAGATTTTCATCTCTTTCTAGAATCTTTTTTTCTCTTTCATAACGTTGATGGTCAATGATCGGACCTGTTTGTTTATATCTATGAATTGTTTTTGCCACTGTTGTTTTGTGAAACACCCAATTTTCTATTAGAGTAATGGTCTCTGCTTTTGAAAGTGAATATTAAGAAACGAAGTTCATCAAATAACCTCATTTTGATTATGTTCTAGTAATTATATTTAAAATTTAAAATATTAAAAATGATTTAAAAAAAATTCGAAAAATAAAAAAAGAAATATTTTTTAAAATTTGTTTTCCCACTGTGCAGTGTTAATTGTAATTAAAAAAACACTCAAACATCTTTAAATAGATGAGGTATTTAATTTAAAATATATTTGCAACATATGAAAATTCACAGGATTGGGCGAAGAAGCATTGGGTAATCTTTATATAAACAAAGGAATTCCGTTGGTGGTATCAGATATAATGAAGAAATCCCTAATACAGCGCCCGAGATATATTTAGACCCCATGATGATATTATATATTAATTTGTTTGAGTAGTTTTTTAATTACAATTAAAACTGCACAAAAAAATAATAAAACACAACCATTAGAATCAGGAGTGGTGAAACTGGCTCATTTATTAGTGTGTAATAAATTCAAATAAAATTTTTTATAAAAATTAAGCTTTGATAAGTTTATATCTTTTTTTTAAAAAAATTTAATTTATTAGATTATTACAAACGGTTTTGATATTTTTATAAAAATTTAATATTTAAGATATCTTGATATTTTTAAAAAAAAAATTTTTTTTTTTATAAAAAAATAAATAAAAATTTTTATATTAACAATGAATGACCTATTATCATCTCTAATTAACTTTAGTGTAAAAGAAGAATTAAAAAACAGTAGTAATATTAGTGATAGGTAAGTACAATAAAAAAATCTAAACAATAAATTTAAATAAGAATCGATTAATTAAAAGCATATTAATTGTGTTTTCTCTTTTTAACTATTTATTATAGATTATTATATATAGTTTGGAATAATATATTTTTAAGAAATGAAATTCATAAACATATTTTAAAGTTTATTGAATATAGTGTTGTAGATCTTAATAAATCACAATATGACCAGTTTAAATATAAATCATATATAACCAGACTTAATTGGAATGGTGATACACTACCTGATAAAAATGAATTTCCACCATTTTTGACAATTTTAAATTTGTTCTATTGTTATAAAAAGTTAACTCCAACAACTTTACCAAATACAATAACTACACTCACATTCGGTTATGAATTTAACAAAGTAATTCTACCCGACACATTACCAAATAGTCTCACAACACTCACATTCAGTCAACGTTTTAACAAAGTAGTTCAACCCGGCACATTACCAAATAATCTCACAACACTCACATTTGGTCATTATTTTAACCAAGTAGTTCCACCGGGTACATTACCAAATAATCTCACATCACTCACATTCGGTTATGATTTTAACCAAGTAATTCTACCCGGCACATTACCAAATAATCTCACAACACTCACATTAGGAACTAAATTTAACCAGGTATTTCCACCTGTCACATTACCAAATAGTCTCACAACACTCACATTCGGTTATTGTTTTAACCAAGTAGTTCTACCTGGTACATTACCAAATAGTCTCACAACACTCACATTTGGTGATAATTTTAACCTTGAAGTTCTACCCGACACATTACCAAATAATCTCACTACACTCACATTCGGTGATAAATTTAACCAAGTAATTCTACCCGGCACATTACCAAATAGTCTCACAACACTCACATTCGGAACTAAATTTAACCAAGTAGTTCCACCTGGCACATTACCAAATAGTCTTATAACACTCACATTCCGTAGTAAATTTAACCAAGTAGTTCTACCCGGTGCATTACCAAACAGTCTCACAACACTCACATTTGGTGATAGTTTTAATCAAGAAGCTCCACCCGGTTTATTAACAAAAAATAATAATTAAAGATAAAGATACATAAAACCTCATATCTTAAAACTGTTGTAAAAATAAATTAAACATTCTAATTGATAACATTTCTTTATCATATGACCTTTAATTCTATTAAATTAAAATACAGGCTTTAAAGTTGTATTTCATCAATTGATATATTGTATCATTTTCTTCTTGTAATTTTCTTTAATGGAGGTTTCATGAATTTCTTTTTATTAACAATATTATTTCTATGCAAAACGTTTCTAACTGACAAGTCAGATATGGTCCCTTGAAACAGATGATGATTAGTACCATTAATGGTCTCTGCTTTGAAAGTGAATATTAAGAAACCAAGTTCATTAATTAATCTTATTTTGTTTATGTTCTAGTAATTATATTTGAAATTTAAAATTTTAAAAATGATTTAAAAAAAATTCGAAAAATAAAAAAAAGAAATATTTTTAAAATTTTTTTCCTATTTCCCACTGTGCAGTGTTAATTGTAATTAAAAAACCACTCAAACATCTTTAAATAGATGAAGTATTTAATTTAAAATATATGTGCAACTTTAGAAAATTCACAGGATTGGGCGAAGAAGCATTGGGTAATCTTTATATAAATAAAGGAATTCCGTTGATGGTATCAGAAATAATGAAGAAATCCCTAATACAGCTCCCGAGATATATATTTAGACCCCATGATGATATTATATATTAATTGTAATTAACACAGCACAAAAAATAATAAAACCACCATTAGACTGGTTCTTTTATTAGAGTGTGTGTTATAAATTTAAATATATTTTTTTATAGAAAATTTTTAATTATATTATGCGGTTGGATCAAAACATGCCTTTAAAAATTTTGACAAAAAAAAAAAAAAAAAAAATTTTAAAATGGGAAATGTTACAAATAAAAAATTAACATTAATTTTTTAAAATATAATGTTTTGGGAAAAACGAAATCTGTTAGGGGTAAAAAAAAAATTAAAATTTTTTTTTAAAAAAAAGTGTTTTGTAATAAATGAGGTATTTTGATGTGTTTATATTATTTATTTTTTAAAAAAAAATTATAAAAAAATAAAGCAATTGTTGATCTTCAAATTGAATATAAAATCTTTATTTATTTATATTTTAATATTTTTATTAATCGAAAAATAAAATATTAATTTTTATATGTAAAAAAGATTTAGAATGAATGAGCTATTATTATCTCTAATTAACTTTAGTGTAAAAGAAGAATTAAAAAACAGTAGTAATATTAGTGATAGGTAAGTACAATAAATCTAAACAATAATTTAAATAATCGATTAATTAAAAGCATATTAATTGATGTTTTCTCTTTTTAACTATTTATTATAGATTATTATATATAGTTTGGAATAATATATTTTTAAGAAATGAAATTCATAAACATATTTTAAGGTTTATTTATTGTAGTGTTGCACATCTTGATAAATCACAATATGACAAGTTTAAATATAAATCATATTTAACAACACTTAGTTTGTTTGGTGATACACTACCTGATAAAAATGAATTTCCACCGTTTTTGACAAGTTTATATTTGCCCTATTTTTCTAAAAAGTTAACTCCAACAAATTTACCAAATACAATAACTACACTCACATTTGGTGATAATTTTAACCAAGTAGTTCTACCGGGCACATTACCAAATAGTCTCACAACACTCACATTAGTTAGTGATTTTAACAAAGTAGTTCTACCCGGCACATTACCAAATAGTCTTACAACACTCACATTCGGTCATCGTTTTAACCAAGTAGTTTCACCGATCACATTACCAAATAGTCTCACACAACTCACATTCAGTCATAATTATAACCATATAGTTCTACCTTACACATTACCAGATAATCTCACAACACTCACATTCGGTCATTATTTTAACCAAGTAGTTTTACCCGGCTCATTACCAAATAGTCTTACAACACTCACATTCGGTTTTGGTTTTAACCAAGTAGTTCAACCGGGCATATTACCAAATAATCTCACAACACTCAGGTTAGGTTATAGTTTTAACCAAGTAGTTCTACCCGACACATTACCAAATAGTCTCACAACACTCATATTTGGTCAACGTTTTAACCAAGTAGTTCCACCAGGCACATTACCAAATAGTCTCACAATACTCATATTCAGTCATGAGTTTGAAAATCTATTTGATATTCAATAATTAGATTAACCTAAACCAGTTTCACTGTAAATAAAGAAAATAACAAATAACAAATAATAAATAACAAATTACAGAAAATAATTTTATATTGTCAAAAATGATTATTGTTGTTTTTTTTTTTTTTAAATGTGTTGAGGGGGGTAATCTAATAACATATAAATAATTTTATAAAAATAAATTATTAAGTGATAAAATGGGTGTATGCGTGTGTTTAGTGAGATTTTGTTTAATTATAATTATAATTATGTTTTATTCGTGTTTTTTTTTGATCCAATTTCAGTTTTATTCTCAAATTAAAAATAATTACCTTAAATTATTTTTATAAAGACATTATTGAAATTAAAATGTTTGTATAACATTATATTATATGTATAATGTATAACATTTATTTTTAACGATGAAACAATATAATAAAGGATTCAGAGAAAAGAAAAAAATATAATTTTTTTAATTTTAATTTAATTACAACCATTTTTTTTTAAAGATTTTTTAAAATTTTTTATTGAAATTTTCTATAAAAATTGAAATTTGATAGGTTTGTACCTTATTAGATTATTTCAAATGGTTTCGATATTGTTTTGAAAAATAATTAAAATTTTTTTTGTTTTCAAAACATGATATTTTCAGATGAGAAAATGGGTTTTATAAAGCAAACCGTATTTAATTAATATTACAAAACCCGGTGACAAGTATCAAAGATGTAATGAATAATCTAAAGGATTTAGTGGATTATGATGTAAGTAAATCAATGATAAAAAGAATCTTCCAAAAATGGAGATGGAAGAAACCACAGATCAAACAAATCTAAAAGTATACCGAAGAAAATTTGATGTAATAGGTTTATTTAAAAAAAGAAAAGTGGAAATAAATTTAAATAATAATCAATTAATTAAAAGCATATTAATTGATGTTTTCTCTTTTTAACTATTCATTATAGATTATTATATATAGACTATAGTATAGTTTGGAATAATATATTTTTAAGAAATGTAATTCTTAAACATATTTTAAAGTTTATTGAATATAGTTTTGTAGATCTTAATAAATCACAATATGACCAGTTTAAAGATAAATCATATATAACAACACTTAGTTGGAATGGTGATCCACTACCTGATAAAAATGAATTTCCACCATTTTTGACAATTTTAAATTTGTTCTATTGTTATAAAAAGTTAACTCCAACAACTTTACCAAATACAATAACTACACTCACATTCGGTTATGAATTTAACAAAGTAATTCTACTCGACACATTACCAAATAGTCTCACAACACTCACATTCGGTCAACGTTTTAACAAAGTAGTTCAACCCGGCACATTACCAAGGTGAGGAGTAACACCGTAAAAAAACATCTGGATCCTGATATTCACCCAAATTCAGAACTCTGCCATTTTAAATGGTATGAATCGTTAAACGATACCCGGTCCGGTCTCTTCAATCAGAATGCAATGTAGGTATAACACAGACTAGACCAAACCACAAAGATTGTGAAACTGATCTTAGTGGCCCAGCTTATATGAACAGAAGCTGGCTCTGACTACCACCGAAATGTATACTCAAACTATGACAGAACAAAGAAAACATTTGATAATCAATCTAGCAAAATGGCTTCAATAATCAGACAACACACAAATTCATTATTATACTACAAGGTGCTAAGTGAAGATATAGGTATTGGTAAGAAAAGACTATGGAGAGACTACCATGATACAAAATGTAGATTATGTTTTAGTGCTGATGAATCAATTGAATACTTAGTTGTTGGTTGTACTGGTATGAATAAACACGGTAGAATTAGACGTCATGATGCAGTTGTAACCGAGATTAGTAAATCATTGATCAAACGCGATGAAATTCCAAACGTGGAAAACAACTTGGATCCACACATTACTTATTCACAATCAAAAGATAAAGAAATGACTATTAATATTGAAATTATTCGGGACATATTCTCCAAAAACTCTCAATCGACGGCCAATAAACCAGACATTGTGGTAATTGATCATATTAAACACCTTGTGTATATTATAGAAGTCTGTGTACCTTTTGATGGTAATATTGAATTTAGACAAGCTGAAAAATTAAATTAGTATCACTACCTACAATCATATTTCCAGAATCAATATAAGTACAAAGATGGTGAGAATGGTCATAATAAGTCATACCATGTTGAACTTGTTGCCATAGTTGTTGGAGCATTTGGCAGGATCATAACTGAAGAATTATCTTATACATTAAACCCAAATACAAGAGATGCAACATCCATTCCAATAATGAAGTTTAAAGACTGCATTAATACTCTTCCGTTACCAGTAGCCGAAAAGAAATTCTTGAAAGTAAAAATACCTAGACTCGCAATTATAGGTACCGTACTCACTCTTGAAAGTTGGCACAAAAAATTTAAATCTTTAACCAATTACAAAATTTCCTTAAATCTTTTAAAGATTTTACTCTCTGCTTATTATTTCCTGTTTAATACATATATTTTTACATATCTTAAATTTTATATTATGTTACTCTTTTTTTAACATGTGAAGTAATTAACTATTAAATAAAATAATCAGTCATGATTAATATTTTCCATACCAAATAGTCTCACAACACTCACATTCGGTCATTATTTTAACCAATTAGGATATTTACAAAGTTAACTAATAAAAGTTTTTACAGGCTTTAAAAATTGTTTTGATATCATGTATCAATTTGTATTAAACAACAAAAATTTATTTTCAAAAGTAGGAACAACAAACAACCACAACTACAGCAACTGTTACAATTCATTGATAGTCTTTTTAATTTAAGATATTAAAATAAAAATTTTATGTATCAATAATATTTAAAAAATTTGGAACATATGTTCATAACTATTAATTGTTTTGTGAAACACCCAATTTTCTGTAATTTTCTATTAGAGTAATGGTCTCTGCTTTTGAAAGTGAATATTAAGAAACCAAGTTTTTTAATTAACCTTATTTTGTTTATGTTCTTGTAATTAAATTTAAAATTTAAAATTTTAAAAATGATTTAAAAAAAATTCGAAAAAATAAAATATTTTAAAATTTATTTTCCCTATTTTCTGCACTGTTTGGATTATTTCAAATGGTTTTGATATTTTTTTGAAAAATATTTTTTCTAAAAATTATATTTTTAATTGTAATATTTTTTAAAAAAAAAATTTTATTTTTTTTTTATAATTTAAAAAAATTTTTATTTATTTTTTATATTAACAATGAATGAGCTATTATCATCTCTAATTAACTTTAGTGTAAAAGAAGAATTAAAAAACAGTAGTAATATTAGTGATAGGTAAGTACAATAAATCTAAACAATAATTTAAATAATCGATTAATTAAAAGCATATAAATTGATGTTTTCTCTTTTTAACTATTTATTATAGATTATTATATATAGTTTGGAATAGTATATTTTTAAGAAATGAAATTCATAAACATATTTTAAAGTTTATTTCATATAGTGTTGCAGATCTTAATAAATCACAATATGACCAGTTTAAAGATAAATCATATATAACAAAACTTAATTGGTTTGGTGATACACTACCTGATAAAAATGAATTGCCACCATTTTTGAAAAGTTTATATTTGCCCTATTTTTCTGAAAAGTTAACTCTAACAACTTTACCAAATACAATAACTACACTCACATTCGGTAATGGTTTTAACCAAGTAGTTCTACCTGGTACATTACCAAATAGTCTCACAACACTCAAATTCGGTGAGTGGTTTAACCAAGTGGTTCTACCCAGCACATTACCAGATAGTCTTACAACACTCACATTCGGTCATTGTTTTAACCATATAGTTCCACCTGGCACATTACCAAATAGTCTCACACAACTCACATTCGGTCATTGTTTTAACCAAGTGGTTCTACCCGGCACATTACCAAATAGTCTCACAACACTCACATTCGGTAACCAAGTAGTTTCACCGGGCACATTACCAAATAGTCTCACACAACTCACATTCGGTCATTATTTTAACCATATAGTTCCACCTGGTACATTACCAAATTGTCTCACAACACTCACATTCGGTTATGATTTTAACCAAGTAGTTTTACCCGGCACATTACCAAATAATCTCACAACACTCACATTCGGTCATGATTTTAACCAAGTAGTTCCACCTGGCACATTACCAAATAGTCTCACAACACTCACATTCGGTTATGATTTTAACCAAGTAATTCTACCTGGCACATTACCAAATAGTCTTACAACACTCACATTCGGTTATGATTTTAACCAAGTAGTTCCACCTGGCACATTACCAAATAATCTCACAACACTCACATTCGGTTATGATTTTAACCAAGTAATTCTACCTGGCACATTACCAAATAGTCTTACAACACTCATTTTTGGTGAAAGTTTTAACCAAGTAGTTCCACCTGGCACATTATCAAATAATCTCACAACACTCACATTCGGTCAATATTTTAACCAAGTAGTTCCACCGGGCACATTACCAAATAGTCTTACAACACTCATTTTTGGTGAAAGTTTTAACCAAGTAATTCCACCTGGCACATTACCAAATAATCTCACAACACTCACATTCGGTAATGAATTTAACCAAGTAGTTCAACCGTGCATATTACCAAATAGTCTCACAACACTCACATTCGGAACTAAATTTAACCAAGTACTTCTACCCGACACATTACCAAATAATCTCACAACATTCGCATTCAGTTATAATTTTAACCAAGTAGTTTTACCCGGCACATTACCAAATAATCTCACAACACTCACATTCGGTCATTGTTTTAACCAAGTAGTTTCACCTGGCACATTACCAAATAATCTCACAACACTCACATTCGGTAATGGTTTTAACCAAGTAGTTCCACCTGGCACATTACCAAATAATCTCACAACACTCACATTCGGTTATAGTTTTAACCAGGTAGTTCTACCTGGCACATTACCAAATAATCTCACAACACTCAGATTCGGCTATAGTTTTAACCAAGTAATTCTACCTGGCACATTACCAAATAGTCTCACAGAACTCACATTCGGTCATTTTTTTAACCAAGTAGTTCCACCTGGTACATTATCAAATAGTCTCACAACACTCAGATTCGGTAATGATTTTAACCAAGTAGTTCTACCCGGCACATTACCAAATAGTCTCACAAAACTGAGATTCGGTCATTATTTTAACCAAGTAGTTCCACCGGGCACATTACCAAATAATCTCACAACACTCACATTCGGTTATAGTTTAAACCAAGTAATCCCACCTGGTACATTACCAAGGTGAGGAGTAACACCGTAAAAAGCATCTGGATCCTGATATCCGCCCAAATTCAGAACTCTGCCATATTAAACAGCATGAATCGTTAAATGATACCCGGTTTCATCAATCAGAATGCATTGCAGGTATAACACAGACTAGACCAAACCACAAAGATTGTGATACTGATCTTAGTGGCCCCTGCTTATATGAACAGAAGCTGGCTCTGACTACCACCGAAAAATTAGCCAAGGTAATAATAAATATGTCCGCACCAAGTGAATCAATGAATTCCTAAACATAACATCAATACTAAAAAAAACTATAAATAAAGTGGTCAGTTCATGACTAATAATTAAATACCAAATAGTCTTACAACACTCACACTCAGTTGTGATTTTAACAATTCCACCTGGAACATTACCAAATAGTCTCACAACACTCACATTATAATTTTAACCAAGTAATTCTACCTGACACATTACCAAATAATCTCAAAATACTAACATTCAGTCATGAGTTTGAAGAAGAAATTCTATCTGATTATGATAAAACAAAGAATCATAAGTTATATTCAAATACAGCAACAAAAAAAAATCAAAAACAACCACAATAACTACATTCCAATAACAATAACAAAATAATAATAAAAATAAAAAATATTTAAAAATTTTTAATTATAATTTTTTTTGTTATCCAAAAATGATATTTTAAAAAAAAAATAAAATTTTTTTTTTTATAAATTTATAAAAAAATTTTTATTTATTTTTTATATTAACAATGAATGAGCTATTATCATCTCTAATTAACTTTAGTGTAAAAGAAGAATTAAAAAACAGTAGTAATATTAGTGATAGGTAAGTACAATACAAACAATACAATAAATCTTAACAATAAATTTAAATAATCGATTTATTAAAAACATATTTATTGATGTTTTCTCTTTTTAACTATTCATTATAGATTATTATATATAGTTTGGAATAATATATTTTTAAGAAATGAAATTCATAAACATATTTTAAAGTTTATTTCATATAGTGTTGCAGATCTTAATAAATCACAATATGACCAGTTTAAAGATAAATCATATATAACAAAACTTAATTGGTTTGGTGATACACTACCTGATAAAAATGAATTGCCACCATTTTTGACAAGTTTATATTTGCCCTATTTTTCTGAAAAGTTAACTCCAACAACTTTACCAAATACAATAACTACACTCACATTCGGTAATGGTTTTAACCAAGTAGTTCTACCCGACACATTACCAAATAGTCTCACAACACTCACATTCGGTCATGGTTTTAACCAAGTAGTTCTACCTGGTACATTACCAAATAATCTCACAAAACTCACATTTGGTCATAATTTTAACCAAGTAGTTCCACCGGGTACATTACCAAATAATCTCACAACACTCACATTCGGTTATAGTTTTAACCAAGTAGTTTTACCCGGCACATTACCAAATAGTCTCACAACACTCACATTCGGTCATTTTTTTAACCAAGTAGTTCTACCCGACACATTACCAAATAGTCTTACAACACTCACATTCGGTAACCAAGTAGTTTCACCGGGTACATTACCAAATAGTCTCACACAACTCACATTCGGTCATTATTATAACCATATAGTTCCACCTAGCACATTACCAAATTGTCTCACAACACTCACATTCGGTGTTAGTTTTAATCAAGTGGTTTTACCCGGCACATTACCAAATAATCTCACAACACTCACATTCGATAATGAATTTAACCAAGTAGTTCCACCCGGCACATTACCAAATAGTCTCACAACACTCACATTCGGTAATGATTTTAACCAAGTAGTTCTACCCGGCACATTACCAAATAATCTCACAACACTCACATTCGGTCATAATTTTAACCAAGTAGTTCCACCGGGCACATTACCAAATAGTCTCACAACACTCACATTCGGTTATTGTTTTAACCAAGTAGTTCCACCCGGCATATTACCAAATTGTCTCACAACACTCACATTCGGTTATTGTTTTAACCAAGTAGTTCTACCCGGCACATTACCAGATAATCTCACAACACTCACATTCGGTAATGAATTTAATCAAGTAGCTCAACCGGGCTTATTACCAAATAGTCTCACAACACTCACATTCGGAACTAAATTTAACCAAGTAGTTCTACCTGACACATTACCAAATAATCTCACAATACTCACATTCGGTGATAATTTTAACCAAGTAGTTCCACCCAACACATTTCCAAATAGTCTCACAGAACTCACATTCGGTTATAGTTTTAACCAAGTAGTTCTACCCGGCACATTACCAAATAGTCTCACAGAGCTCTCATTCGGTTGTAGTTTTAACCAAGTAGTTCTACCCGGCACACTACCAAATAATCTCACAACGCTCACATTCAGTTATGACTTTAACCAAGTAGTTTTACCTAGCACATTACCAAATAGTCTCACAACACTCACATTCGGTTATTATTTTAACCAAGTAGTTCCACCTGGCACATTACCAAATAGTCTCACAACACTCACATTCGGTAATGAATTTAACCAAGTAATTCTACCTGGTACATTACCAAATAATCTCACAACACTCACATTTGGTGATAAATTTAACCAAATAATTCTACCCGGCACATTACCAAATAGTCTCACAACACTCACATTCGGTTATGAATTTAACCAAGTACTTCTACCCGACACATTACCAAATAATCTCACAACACTCACATTCGGTGATAAATTTAACCAAGTAATTCTACCCGGCACATTACCAAATAGTCTCACAACACTCACATTCGGAACTAAATTTAACCAAGTAGTTCCACCGGGCTCATTACCAAATTGTCTCACAACACTCACATTCGGTTATGATTTTAACCAAGTAATTCTACCTGGTACATTACCAAATAGTCTCACAACACTCACATTATGTGATAATTTTAACCAAGTAATTCTACCTGACACATTACCAAATAGTCTCGCAATACTCACATTCAGTCATGAGTTTGAAGAAGAAAATCCATTTGATTATGATTATGATTATGATTAAACAAAAAAATCATAAGTTTTATTCATGCAGCAACAAAAAAAAATCAACAACAACTACAATAATAATAAAAAACTTATATCAAAATGAAACAATTTTAGAACAAAATCATAATAATGAACAAGGAAACCATGACAAAATAATTAAGATATCGTTCAAGAACCACCAACACCTCAACTCTCACCAACTGTATAAGTAATCGATAGAAATAAACTAATAATTAACAGTCCAACTTACAACACTCATTTTTGGTGAAAGTTTTAACCAAGTGGTTCTACCCGACACTTTACCAAATAGTCTCACAACACTCATTCGGTGGTGATTTTGATTTTAAACAAGTAGTTCTACCCGACAGATCATCAAGTCCAAAATATTTAATTTTCTAAAAAATTTATGTGTGTTTATTTATAGATTATTTTTTTATTTTATAATTTTAAATAAATTTGTATTATTACCCATTTCTATGATTGCATCGATATTGTCGAATGTAACTGCAATTGATGTTGAAATTATTTTTTTGTTGTCGTTATTTATATCGAATGATATGAAATTTGTACCTTTAGAAGCTATTGAGATCGTCCTTAGAGCATAGGGAGTGGAATCATTGAATCTAACCTGACTATAGTCGAATTGGTTCCAATTTGATAAAATTGTTGTATAGGGTGTCGGGAAAAAATAACCATCAGAATCTATTTTGTTATCTTGTATATATTTATACCATATTAAATCTTTTTTAAAATGATCTACAGATATCTTTGAAACACTTTTTCGACTGATTTTTGCTAATTCCAGAAGTGATTTCTCTTTAATTTCCAAAACTTTTAATGGTATACAACAGTGAATATAAATATTACCTAAAGCCTCTTCACCTAAACCAGCAGTTTTTCTGATATTACATGCATATTTTAAGCTAAAGATATCACTATCTAAAAGCTGTGATGAGGATGCAAACATTTTAAAAAAAACTGCAGTGATAATATCATTTTTTGAAATACCAGCTTGTTTACCATCGATGCTTGATTTGAAGTTTTCTAATTCATTTATATTAAATTCTATATTGTACACTGGGATGGGGTGGGTATCTGTTGTTGCGGATATTGCATGCAATGATGGATATGAAAAGCCTATCTGATTTGCATATAATTGAGCTTCATTCATGTCATTAAATATTATAGACTCGATACTAAAAGCACTATAATCTGTAAAATGAGGTTTGGCCAATATGGTTCTTCCTCTTCCATTATTATAGAGTTGTGATAGATATTTAAAATAATAACACACTGCACCTTGATCAAAAATTGCATGACTGATGACATTCCCTAGACTGAAGCCATCTTTGAATAAGGTAAGTTTAAATACACCAACTTTGACACCATTTTCTGTATCTCTTGTTTTGATTTTATTTGGTAAAGAGTCCTCTATTTTACAATTGTTTATTGAATCACCATTTCTTTCTTCGATTTCCAATATTTCTTCATAGCCTGCTGCTTTGAAAAATATAAATGGTTTTTCACTTTCCTTGTAAATATATGACAGTAAAACTTGATAATCTTTAAAAGACTCGTCCATTGCTTCTATAAATTTTTCGACATTTATCGAACCTTTAAAAAAAAAACTACTCTTAATGAAACCATGCAATCTAAATATATCATTGGGGTCAATTACTTTCCTCCAGTTTTTATCATTGTTACTAAATTCTATTATTCCTTTTTGTTTATTATATAAATATCTTTTTTTTTCCATTTTTATTTATTATCCTATATTATTATAAATCAAATGAAATTAAAAAAAAAAATTTTAAAAAAATAATTTTTTTTTATTTTTATTTTTATTTTTTATAAAACCCAAAAAAGGAAAATGAACAGTCTTTTATAAAATAAAATAATAATAAACTATATATGAACTAATAAAATATTGTTTATTTTTGTAAATAATTGATTTTTTTTGATTTTTTTAAACTGGTAAATAACCAGTATATCTTTTATGATTTAAATATAGATAAATAAAACCAACTAAAAGTACAACTATGGCAATACATGATAAAATGATTAAGAAAATTTCCCATCCTTTTATATGCTTTACAATTGGAGGTAAGGAGAATTTGGCAAAGGCAATGTTGTTTTGATCAAAATAATACTGCGAATTTAAATTTAGATTGGTATTAATACTATGATGGTCACCATTATTTGTTATTAAGATTGGCTTAATTAAGGATGATAATAAAGAACTGTCATGCTCATTTGATGATGATAGTTTAAATAGTTGGTATGGTAGGGAAATGGTAGGTTGTTCTATAAAGTAAAGATTCACTGATAATTTATTTTTAGTGAGTAATAAACCTTTTATAAACATAGTGTTGTTTGTTTGATTTGGGTGCTCTTGATTTGCAATAATTGAAAAGTAGTTTGAGTTTATTTCAAGATTACCATTAATAGTTAATATGTCGTTAGCATTGTTATAGTTTACTATTAATTTGCTATTATCGTCCATTTGAAGGAAACCTCCTATTGTAACAGTGGAAGAGTAGTTTAGCTCTCCCATTTCACCATATAAAAATAGATTGCCATTTAATATGGAGTTGTTTATAATAGTTGTACCATTACTGTCAATTGATGATTCTAATGTTGAGTTTATTAAATAGAGTTCACCTGCATTATCTATAGAACCTACAATATGGCTATTTTGTACATTTGAATTTTGGATTATAAGTTTATCAGAGGAGCTTTCTACAGCGATTTGTGCATATTCTATATTAAAAGATCCAATAGTAACCTCACCATTAATACCAACGTAAGGGTCTGTATTATTTTTATTTACCAATGATTCAAAATCATAAAGTTTATTGATAGTTGATGATTTTATTATTAAAGTTGAATCCCCGGCCACACCAACGTTAATGCTATTTCCATTTATTTGATTTATAACATTCTTTACATTGCTTTTACTACCCCCGCCACTTGGTTCTACAGTATCAAATTGAATATCACCAGATCCAGTTACTTTAGACAATGTTAACGATGGATTGTTAATTACAATAGTACCTTTATTTAACACAACATTGTTTAATTGTTGGTTATTAATATTGCTTGATATTATTAGTTTTGCATTGGGGTCAATTGTAAAGCCACCACTTGATATCATTCCTAGTTTGTTTTTGATGGTAATATTTGATGAATCCTTTATGTTGACAATATCATTAACTACAAGGTTATTAAGTAAAGTTGATCCATAAAGCTGAGCTTTTCCTAATGTTACCTGACTTGTGGACACTAAACCATTTTTGAAAATTGCGACATCATAGTTGTTATTATTTTGATCATTAAATGTTATTAATACAGATTGGTCTTGGAAAGATGGGGTATTTGAAAAAGTTGAGTTTCCATTAACATGTAAAACTGAACTATTATAAAATAAAACTTTGGATCTATTATCTACATTTATATTTTTAGCGGTTATTACATTATTATTATATACATAAATTCCCGAGTTGTTCATTAGTTTTAATTTATTGGTTTCATAATTATTCACTGTATTTGATGTTTGATTAAAATAAACTGTTGCTCTTACAATATTAAATGATTTTATTAATTTTAAATTGCAATCTGTTAATATTAAATGTGGATGTGACTTGTCATCGCTTGTATGGTGACCTAAAATATTTAAAGAGCTGTATGTGATATTTAAACCTTTTGCAAAAACATAAACTTCTTTTGTATTAGAGTATGAATAATCTATATAAACATCGTCACCTTCATTTGGTAATTGAAATCCATCCCAACTCTTTGGATTATTGAAATCACATGGTGTTTGAATTGTACATGTACTAAGAGCTGCAAAATCTACTCTTTCTGAATTTACTTTTAAACTATTTAAAAATAAAAATATATTAAAAAAAAATAAAATAAATATAAATTTTAATTTCATTTTAAAGTTATTTTTATATCATATTAAAACTATTGTATAAAATATATATATAAAATAAAAAATATAAAAAAAAAAACAAAAAAGAAATGTATAAAATATTTTAAAATAATATTTAAATTAATTTAAAAAAATAATAATTAAATAATATATTGTCAAAAATGATTATTGTTGTTTTTTTTTTTTAAAATGTGTTGAGGGGGTAATCTAATAACATATAAATAATTTTATAAAAATAAATTATTAAGTGATAAAATGGGTGTATGCGTGTGTTTAGTGAGATTTTGTTTAATTATAATTATAATTATGTTTTATTCGTGTTTTTTTTTGATCCAATTTCAGTTTTATTCTCAAATTAAAAATAATTACCTTAAATTATTTTTATAAAGACATTATTGAAATTAAAATGTTTGTATAACATTATATTATATGTATAATGTATAACATTTATTTTTAACGATGAAACAATATAATAAAGGATTCAGAAAAAAGAAAAAAATATAATTTTTTTAATTTTAATTAACCACAAACATTTTTTTTTTTAAAGATTTTTTAAAAATTTTAAAAAAATTTTTTTTTATTTCCTTCAAAATTTCATTTAAAATTATTTTTAATTTTCATTAAAACTCACACATCCAACAAAAAATAAATATGTAATCACACGTTAATTTAAAGAATTTTAATCGAAGAATGAACTCTATTAAACTTAAATTATTTAGAAATTAATAATATAACCCAAAAAAAAAATATAAATTAAAAATTTTTTATTTTTATTTTTTCATTCATCAAACAAATAAACAAATAAACAAATAAACAAATAAATATTATATTCATTTAATTTTTATAATAACTCGGTTCAAATATATATTAATATAACTTAATAATAAAATGGCAACTATTTTTGATATCTTATTAAATCAACATTTAAATAATAATAATAATAAAAATAATTTTAAATCACAAACAACACAAACCAAAAAAGAAATAATCAATTTTATACCAGAATCAGATGCTATTGAAACATCTGATTCATTAATCATTGAAACTGAATTAGCAGGTGTAAATAAAGATGATATTCAAATTGAAATTAATGACTCAAAACTATATATTCAAGGTGAAAAGAAAAGATCAACATATAAAAACAACACTATTGTAACCACTACCACCACTGCCACCAGTACCCAAACTGACAACGAGCCATCAATTGAAGAGTTTGAAAACGATATTAGTACCTCTGATACCACTGCCACCAGTTTACAATCATCAAATAAAGAAATCAAACCTGAATCAAGTACAAACAACACTGTCACCTCTGATACCAAAGAACAAGTTAAAAAGTATATTAGTGAAAGATCATGTGGTAAATTCAAAAAATGTTTTGACTTAAACAGAATTATATATACATTAGATTTATCAAGTATCAAAACACAATACAACAACGGTCTTTTAACAATAACTATAAACAAGAAAAAAGATTATTCAAATACAATTAAAATAAATTTAGTATAAATAGGAAAATTAATTTATCATAAATAAAAATATCATAAAACTATAAATTTAAATAAAAAACTTTGTAAATAAATAAAAATTAAAAAAATTAAGTTTAAATTTTAAATAATGTAATATCCTTTGACTTTACAAATTGAATTGCTAATATTTTAAATACTATTGATTGGTGTTCTTTTATATTCTTTTTTTTTTATTTATGAAAAAAATTAATTAAAATTCATTAATTATTCAAAATAAAAAAAAATTTTTTTTTACAGAATAATTGATCTTATAAAATACTAGATATTATTATTTTTATTCTTTTCTTTTTTAAGTGATGATTTCACACAGATTTAACATTCATATAGATATTAATAGAAAATCG